AATATAATTTCTAACAACAAAAGAAGGTATACAGACGAAGAGATTTTCGAGGAAGGTTCTGTGCGGATCTTGTATCAGGACTATGGGGAGACTAGGTCCGGCCGCAGTTTGTACTTTACATGAAGACACGAACGTGATTATTGATGAATATACTGCCGTGCTAAGGGAAAACGCCGTAGGAACATTCGAATGTTGCCACATTTATCCTCAGAGAACGCTTATTTTTGAGAAAAAATATGAATTTATTTCAATGAAATTTTCAGACACTTTAAATCAGATTACGAAATAATGGGCCTGTTGCATGCGAGAGATACAGCCGTGCGAATAGACTTTTTAGAGGTTAAATGACACGAAAATTACGATGGTCACATTAAAAAAGTCTGAAATACACTCCTTACTGCGCAATTTGTGTTGTTAGGAACGCGCTTTTTCAAATTTAACGCATCTGGGGGCAGTTTTCTAACGGAAACAATTAACGGCAACTCGCGGCTATTTCCGGTCAACTAAAACTGACAACATAACCTAAAAATCGGAGCTCGTGACATCGTGAAATGAAATGTAGAAGGATTGCGTTGAATATTTAAAAGTTGATCGATTTTGTTACCGCATAAAGCGTATATGGACCACTATAGGAGATCACGTTGGGTTTGTAAACAAACTGAAGGAAAAAATAACAACAACAACAACGACTCGGCATCTTCCGGAAATCACCGAGCCCGCCGTTCGCTCGTTTCCGGTGATTAGAAAACTGCCCCCAGACGCGGGAAATTTGAAAAAGCGCGTTCCTGACAACGCAAATTGCACAGTAAGGAGTGTATTTCAGACTTTTTTAATGTGACCATCGTAATTTTCGTGTCATTTAACCTCTAAAAAGTCTATTCGCGCGGCTGTATCTCTTGCATGCAACAGGCCCATTTCTCCAGAAATTTTGAAGCAAATACTTAACATTTTCCCTTAAAATTCGTGATTAGTCAAAGGAAGTGTGACAACGTCTGGATGCTCTTACGACGTATTTCCTTAGCACTGTTGTATGATAAACGGAATCGGAAAATGTGTATTTGGTTCCAGTTCTTGAGAAAGAGAATTTTCCTCAGAACTATCGTGTAGATAGTCTCGTTCTGCGTGTAATGTGTAACCGAGGAGAACATGAAAATAATGTTGGGAAGAGGGTTCTGATCAAATTTCAGACCTTGGTGTTCAAAGTTCTGAGAATTACGGAACTGTTAGTAGTAATTCAACGTTCTGTCAAAGTAGTACTCAGCACGGTGTTGACGTCTTCTTCCGGGAATGTGATCGGGTCGCTTCGTCGAAGCATGCAGTGCTCGACGTCACGTCTCATGTCCACGAGCGTGTGGTTTTCGTCCGTTTTCCTATTTTTCGTTGCTTTTGGGTCTTTTAAGTTTCAAAGAGCATGATGCAAAAACGGCTTCTTTCGCCCCCCCCCCCTGGAATTTCTTTAAACTTTTTCCACTGATTACGCATACTTGAGCGCTTCTTTTCCAAACTTTTCGGAACCCCAAAAAAATTTGTTTGGGGGGGCGCGCGATAGGGGGGTGGAGGCCAAAGCCTGTAGAGGCACTCAAGGATGTGTAATCAATAGACAAAGTCTGAAGAAATTCCAGAGGGGGGGAGGGGGGGAAAGAAGCCGTTTTGCATCAAGCTCTTTCACGATTACTTTTTCTGTTTCTTCGGTCCTACAATGTAAAGAGTTTTTTTTATATAAATGCGTCCTTTCAAAGTTATGAATATTTTTCTTGAAATTTTCAAGTATTTTATATGTAGATCAAATTGCGAACAATTTCGTCTGAAACATTAGAAGCAAAACACTCAAACATTTTCCAGTAAATTAGGGTTCCGTCAAGGGGAATGTGGCAGCGCCTGAAGACTCATACGGCGTTTTCCCTCAGCAAGGCAGACTTGGCATTACATCAATGAAAAGTGTCCGGGCCGGAGTCTAGCATGGCTTTTCTTTTCAGTTTGGCCGAGGATAATGTACAAGCAAAACAATAATTCCGCTTTCTAGGCACGCTCTGTTTTATTTTGAGGCATCGATTCCCTATTTCAGCTACACGGCCACCGACACGAAGTGGAAAGAGAATCTACATTTTCCACCTCCCCATCTGTTATCCTGTGGATAGGCTTACTTCCGTACGTGAGCCGCGCCGGGGGTGCGGGGGTGGCGCGGGCGGGGTGGGGGAGGGGGGACCTATTTTTATGCGCATGAAGTTTCATAAAACGGTAACACCGAGGCGTCACGCACGTGTTGTAATTTTTCTCCAAGTTTGCTAATTTTTCCGCCTTGCGGCCCGCTCTCCAATTATCTGACCCGGCTCGGATTTCATCGCGAGCTTTATCGTTTGATAAGTTTCCCGGGGAAACTCCGATCCAATTCCGCGACAATTTACATTTAATAATCTGAGCGGAAACTTCAAAATTTGTTTCCTCCCTCTTTGAAGTGTCTCGGTTAAAGCAAAGATAAGCAAGCCACCTTAAGCCAATCTTTGTGCGATTTTTTTGTATTTTTTGGATCAATATTTTATCAATGTTACGCCATTTCTGAAAAAATAACATCTGTCTACTAGGGGCTCCGCCTCCTGGCCGCTACGCGACCCAACCCCGGGGCGCTGCGCCCCCAAAAGGCCCACCTCCCGGGCCCTTGAGGGCCGCTTCGCGGCCAGCAAAATTGTTGAAATTGACCGTTGGCGGTCAATGAGCAAGTAATTTGAATTGAATTACAAAACGATGTTTCAAAGAAAAATTTCCCGCCAAACAATATTCTTAATGACTATCTCCTTGTTCTGAATTTTGATTCCCTCTTTGGAATTCGACCTTTGGGCCGTCTTACTCTCCTTCCTCACCCCGTCCATCGAGCGTCTAAAAATGATTTTATTAGATTAGAGAGGATTCAGGTACCTGTTGAAATTAAATATTTTAATATTCTGCGACGCACAGTGGATCGAGTCAATCAGAGAGGTCGGACATGAAATTTTTGACTAACTGCAAATTATGATGTTTAATTCGTCCTATTTTCAATTTTGAAGGTCGTTTCTGGAAGATAATTTTACGAGAAAACCAATGAAACCAATTTTAGAACCTCAAAATTTTTTATAAACTGAGTTATAAGCGTTTTAAGTTTTTAAATTTTGCCCAACCTTTCGTATTGACTCGATCCAATGTGCGACGTAGGACAGGAGCTCTTGCGAGACTAAACGCTTTTGACCGATGTGAAAATGCTTTCCTTCATTCGAGCGGGTATGCAAAACTAGACTGTGAGTGCTGAAATTGTGGTATTATCTGTTTTTGCCATATTCAACTAAAGCTTACCATTACTGCTTAAGTCCTCTTCAGGAGTTGATTTCAGAACTTCGTCTAGTGTGAATTATTTTCTACGTAAAATTTTGAAGAGGGAACGTGTTGCGTAGGTACTGCCTACTTTGTATCTTGTCTAGGACCTCATTGCTTCCTTACGCTCTTCGTAGTGTGAAATTATCAATTTTATAATTATCATAAAATGCGGAAACCCTTCTCAGCTGCGTTAATGAACTCATTTCACACAGATGCGACCGAGAAGCTATTTTTAATAGTCTTCGAACTTTCCTTTCCAAATTTTTCTTATAATTAACATGGTATTGTAACCAAACTTGATAAATTTAAAAATTCATCCAGATATACTCTTTAAAGGTAAAAATAAGGGATAAAATTTGGCAGCGCGCAGCAGAATGATTTTCAAGCATATTTTAAGATACATTTCATAGCGCAAGAGTGTCCATAATGTCCTCTCCTTCGAGGCAGTCATTCACGAGCCAGTTTTCACCGCACCAACATTGCATACGAGAGAGCTAATTTTTCCGAAAGGACCGTTAGAAGGTACAAAAAGGCGGTTGTACCAAGGATGGAGATAGGAGTTTGGAATTTCACGTTGGAAACCACCTCTTATGTGGACGTGTTTCTGTCAAACGGAACTATGTGCATCGAGACATGAGCCATGAGCCCTGAGACCCCTAGGAATATATGCATAACAAGGCTCACGTCATAATGCGCATAGTTCCGTTTGACAGAAATGCGCCCATATATTCTACGATTGGACTCCTCGTGAACTAAAGTTGGACGGGCGCATCTCTATGGGGAAAAAAGGAATTGGTACACTGTGTGACCGAAAAAAAAGAAAAATTCATCGTAAAATTTTAAATTTAAAAAACCCGAAAATTACGAATAATTGGAAAACGGCCAAAAACCACACTGCCATGCAAAGGGAAAACGCCGTATGAACCTTCGGGAGTTGCCAAATTTCCTTCACTGGATTGCTCATTTTTGAGGAAATTTATGAATATTTTTCCTTGACATTTTTAAGAACTTCGGATGAAATTGCGAACAAAATTATCTGGAAAATTGGAAGAAAAATATTCATAAGTTTACCGAGGAAGTCGTGTTTTATCAAAGGAAATATGACATCGCCTGCAGGTTCATACGGCTTTTTTCTCAGCACGGCAACACACGCTCGTGGACAACTGCAGGGAAGAGCAGGTTCCCCTAGAGTCCCTTTATACTGAGAGTCAAAACAATGTGAATCCATTTCTGATTGGTTCCCGTATTTTAGGCCTTCACAGTGTCACAAATGGGAATAAAGATTACATTTTCACCGATTGCAAAGATTATAATCTGGAATGGACCGGGGAATTACGGGTTCGGCAGGGAACAAACGGAATGAGAGAAGGAACGGAGAAAGGAATTTGAGAATGGGCCGATCAAAAATTACAAAAAACTGCCAATTTGTGTAATCTTTATTCCCGTTTGTGACTCCATGAGGGGGTGTTGCCTTGACTCTTAGTATAAAGGGACTCTAGGTTCCCCCAGCCCCCTCCCCCCTCCTTCCGTGCGCCCGTGACTCCAAGCAGTGCAATACAGCGATCAAAAACAGGCAGAGCTCATAGGAGTCGAGTAAGTATTGAATTTTCTAGGGTGGACGCTTACAATATTCCGGAAAATAGGAAAGCGCTTACCTTGACAGATGATGGTGAGGGCGTGGAGAATGCTGACAAAGAAGTAGCGGCTGGATTTGGGGGCGCCGCACCCCCGGCTCCCTCCGCGGGGCATTTCGGCCCCGGCTAGACGCACTGATCCCTCGGATCCGCCACCGCCGTCGTTGCTAAGACAACACCAGGACCCGAGTCCGAGCTTCCATCACTCAAAGTCCAAACTTCGGCCGCGACGCTCTCTGACGTCATCGATGTTCGCCAATTTCCCGGATCCGACGCGCGGGTTTCGCTCATCGCTTTATGCGTTCGCGTTGATAAGTTATCATCGCGGATGGGGCTTCGTTAGCTTCTCCTGAAATGTTCCTTTTGGGTATTGCTCCCTTGTAAATTTCTCTAGAGGAGCCTCTAAGGTACTGCAGAAATTAGCCCTTCGTCGCCTGAAAATTTAGTACACAGAACTAAATACACCGAAAAAAATAATATTCTGTTTTAGCATCTAGGATGTCAAAAATGTGTCTGGTGATCCCAAGATGCTGTCTTTACTGCCCCCGCAGTTAATTTTACATCCTGTGAATACAAATTTAACTGCGGGAGCAGTAAAGGTAGCATCTTGGGATCACCAGACACTTTTTTGACATCCTAGATGCCAGAACAGCATATTATTTTTTTCATGGTAGATGCTGTTGACGACAGAGCCTTCTGTTCACAGGGCTCCTGCAGTTTCTTTGTTACACTTACAGAATTTTCCTGTTGTGAGACTATCGTAGGAACTAAATCGTGAAACTAATCGTAGGAACAGAGTGCTCTGTCCTCATAACGGAAGCTTTTGTGACTGTTACAAAAGAAGTGCAGGAGCCCTATAAACAGAACTATTTTTTTCAGTGTAATCAGATATTTAAGTTTAATCGGAATTTCTGTGATTTCCATTATTAAAGTATCAGTAATTATTTTTTTTATCTCGCAGGATTTCTCCCGGTATCAAGAGCTCAAGAAGAGTCGAGGACTAGACTGAATCTTGGGCCCTTTTCTTGCCGTAACCATTGAAGTTTTTAAGGATAAAAATCTAAGAAACTGAAAAGAGAAATAAGAGAAGGACGGAAAAAGAACTATTCCAGGTTAAGGAGACTTCTGACCATACTGCAGGCAAAAAGGGTGATTGGCCTCTGCATCGTGTGGAAATATGTTATTATTATTAAGTTTTAATTGTAATAATCGTGATGCTTTTCTGACGGATTTTGTTCATGTTTCAGAGAAAGTTTCCTTTAGATACATTTGCGGAACTTTTGTGTACAGGAAAGTAACCGATCATAGCCTAGAAATTGAATGATCAAATATTTTATTTTTACCTGATTTTACCGAAATGTTGTTCAAAAATTACGACCATCATATTGTAAAAATTTGAAGTAATTAAATTGTTTAAGATCTGCTCTTTTTTATCAACAGATTTAGACGGTTTCCTTGTTTTAAATGTTAAGAGTCTCCACATGATGTTATGAACATCCGTGAATATGCGAGATCGCGAAACGATATGTTCGCTCTTAGCCTCGCGCGCACACGTTGATTAATTGTCATTTTATTAGGTAATTTTTATGGATGCTCTAGAGGAACCTCACCTTTGTGTAAGCACTACAGAAAATTAACCATCCATAATCTGAAAACATTAAGATTCTGTCTAATATTACATTTTTGTCTGAATGTGTGTGAAAAAAATTGTTTAAAAATTAATAATGTCAAATAATTATTTAACTAAAGTATCTAATTATTTCTGTACGTGTTTTTGGATCGTGCATTCTTCATGATTTTCGATCGACTGATTTAGTTGGTAACTTTCTTCTTATTGAAAGTCTCATATAGTATTATATAAGTCTCTATGCAAGGAACAGATTTCGTTCGTCGCTTCTTGCGTTTATGTCAATTTTGACGAGTTTTCGTTAAAAATTCGTTAACTGAGTTCTTTAGATGCTATGGAGTAGTCTCCAAGGGAATACAGAGAATCAGCTCTTTTTTCTTAATTTAGGTATTAGATTATTTATTTTTTGAATTTCTGAAAATATGTCTTTAAAAAGTATTAATAGTTCGAATTTTTAAGATTTACATTATAATTAGTTATTCACATTTGTTGTTTAGGCCCGGCAGAGTTCCGTTTATTTTTAAAAATTTAGAGATCAAATATTTTATTTGTTTATGGATGTCTGATAATAGATTCTTCACTAGCTTATAATTATTATTATTAGGTAATTAATTTGTTTTAGTAGATATTTCCTTCCAAATTCTTTATCATTGCATGGTACATTAATTCACTTTACTTATTCGTTTAAAGTCTCAAATGCCTCCATGAACCTAGCTTCTCCTTACTAACTGCAAAGCACATCCGGTCAAAATCACAAGTCTTTAAATCCAAAATCTATACATTTCCTTCTTGCCGATGAAACCACGTCATTTTTTTTTTTTTTTTTTTTTTGGAAATTAAAATATATTACAGCGTAATTATTTAAACAATTTACCCGACATTTTTAGTATACGGTACAAAATTTCAGTAGCGCCAATTAGAATTCTTAAGACGTCGGTCCTCATAGAGGCGTCTCGTAAAGCATATCAATTTGATTCTATTTTCTATTTTTCAGTAAGTTACTGGATTATGATGAAAAACTCGGAATTAAGCCTCGACACTAATCATTTGAACTGCGATTATACATATCAATAGTGAAACCAAAAAACTCTGAGTCTGGATTGCGGTTTTTAAAAATTTCCGCTTACTTTTGCAATTGGTCATGGCGGTTGCTTCATGGAAACAACGTAGGCGCCATTACTTTTCCTATGCGGATGAGTGCTTTTACGATTACAGCAGGAATAATGATTCTTCATTACATAGGGCAATCCATATTTCCGCAACATCAGACTTCCGCCTCAGGCCCATTGAATTGTATTTTCAAATATGGAGCCTCTATTCGTGGCTTATCCATTAAAGCACACGTATCTGTCCAAAGGAAGTTGTGGCACGTAGATTCTTCTACAAATAGCCAGCATAATGCAAAATATAGTCTCTTTAATATGCATCTGTCGAGGCAAATTCCCATAAAATTCGGCAGATTTTCTAATTTTCCCGCCTTGAGCAGGATTAGTTAGGACTCGTTTCTTAAACATCATTTTGACATATTTATACTAAAAGAAAGTTAGTGGTAATGAATAAAATCAAAAGTAACTATAAGACACGCCAATTCTGCGCACATCGTTTTTTGACAATAATTTATTCATATCATATATACTTCCTTTCAGCATAAATACGATCATATTACGAAAAAAAACTTACCAATAATATGGTATCAAACCCTCGGAAATAGGTTCCAACACACACTTAAAAAATTTTACGAACTGATGAAAATGGCTCTTCGTCACGAAAATCAAAAGTAGCCGGAAGTTTATGACATCACAATCCGAAAAACAGGGGTTTCTAGTTTCACCATAAATACATTAGAATGCCAAATTTGGCTCGCTAAGCCATTAAAGGCATGGTGAATGATGTATCAAACGAGGTAAAAGCCAAAAAATAATATATTAGTTCACTATAAATATCGTTATCGGCGCACAAACCAGGAATCGTCACACTTACGATCAGCCAAAATTCAAAAAAGAAAATTTAAAAAATTCGAAACCAAGGCCACTAACGCACACGTCCAGCGAAAGTACGCGAAAACTTCGTGGATAAAAAACTGCAACTTCACACAGTGGCGGGAAACTCGGACGAAAGTCGAGCCCACGCGAGGAAAATTCGCGGAAAACTCGCGCGAGCGGCGAGAAAACGCGACGTGGAGCTTGCGGCGAGTCTACCGGTGCACTGCCGCGAAAAGCTCCCCCAATGTTTATCTGTCTGGCTGAGCTTTTAGCCTCGAGTGTGCCGCGCGCCGCCAATCAAAGTTTGGGGAGGGGGGGCGCCCCCCGCCCCGCCCCGACGCACGCGCCGCCCGCACCCGGCCCGGGCGCGCGCTTTGTTAGTCATTTCGGTTTGTCGTAATGATATTTGCGTTTACTTTTCCGGTCCCTTCGGATCCAAAGGCCCCAATCGGCCAATTTCCATCGCGTCGGGTCCAAACGGGACTTTTATCGAGGCAGTGGCGTCGCGTGCTTTGCGATATAGATTGTATTCGACACTGGAAAAAAAACACATTGGATCTAGAGCCCAGACTCTTGAAAACATTGACAAGAAAAAGAACAATGGACCACTGGACAAGGTACGAATTTAAGCATTCTGATACATGTTACTTAACCAGAATTTCACGTAAAACACGATTCGCGCAACGAAAATTACTGAAACCAACCTCTAACGAAGATATTAACGTTTTTATTTCACATTGGTTACGAGGAATTTGAACTGCCCGCTCACAAAAAACTCAAAGCTCTACGTGAGTCAAATCGGGCACTACAACGGCTTCAGCGAGCTTCTCAATCGAGCAATGATCATTGTTAAAACCATTAGCAATTTTTTACAGCTGAGCCACAGCGTCAAGATTGAGGTTGTCAGATTTTTTTACCGCAGAGACTGTCATGACAACGTTCAGCGCGCGATGTGAATTACGTAGAACATTGAGTTTTCATGAGCGGGTGTTTGAATTCACGCATCAAGCATCATTTAATAATCTTCGTAAGGAGTTGATTTCGATAATTTTCGTTGTGCGCATCGTGTTTAACGTGAAATTTTGATTTAGAAACAAGTATCAACATGCTAAAATTCGTACCTTGTCTAGTGGTCCATTGATTCAATCAGATTTAAGCTTAAATCAAAAGGAAATCCGCTCAAATTAAGAGGCTTGGTTCTTGATTTAAGCTTAAATCTGATTGTATTATGAGTATTTTTTCTTGTCGATGTTATTAAGAGTCTGGACTCTAGATCCAATGTGTTTTTTTTCCAGTGGATAGTGGTTCGATGTATCGTTTGGTTTAAAACAATAACATAACCTCAAACAAAAATTTCAGGATTTAAGTAGAACAAGCTGAAAATGAGAGAATTCCTGACGATTTCACTTTTCATCGCTATTTTTAATCATAAGAATCAAAAATCTATCACAAGAAACCCGTTCCCTCAGAATACTCAATTGACTTTTGAGGCTATGTTTACTTGTTGAACCAATCGATATCGATACAATCCCACGTATTAGGTGTATAAAATACGATCCATAGGCTGAAGACATTTTCTCTTCAAAATTTACGTTACTTAGATTTTGAATAAAAAATAAGCGAAATATTTTCAAAAAAATAAATTTCAGGCAGTATTTTTCAAAATGGCGGCCTCAGCAGCGGAAGTATCTTTACACAAATGCAAATTCCGGATTCAATTTCCAAAAATACATGAATCACTCAATAAATAGTTTTCCGGGAAATTGTCCCCAAGAGCCCATTATTGCACTCCCTATTGCCTGGAATCTCGATTGATCTGCCATTTAAAGGAAATTGAAAAGAAAATCTATGAAAAGGATCAATGATCAGAGTGTTCGCAACGAACGCCTTCATGATTGATTCTTTGCCATAGCTTCAAATTGGGAAAGATCGATAATCAATCATTGACGCCTCGCCATTGATTTTGGTCGGAAAATCAAAAGTAAACAAGGTATTTTCAAAAAACGGAATTTTAGGCAATTTTTAAGCAATTTTGTTCGAAAAGGCGTCGTTATTGGCGGACATGTCTTAACAAAAATGCGAAATTTGAATTCAGCTTCCACAAATACATAAGAATCACTGAATAAAAAGTTTTCCGGGAAATTTTCTTCAAGAGCCCAGATTACGATTTCAATTTCCTGGACTAATATATCGATTGATTTGCCCGATCTATTGATCTAGTCAATATCTGAATATGTTGGAGCGCCCTCAATTTCGTATGATACTAAGCAACACCTCTGTTGTGAAATAGCTGGTTGAGGCACCGTGGCAAGCTGCAGCGCGGCGCAACGGGCGGCGGCCAGCACGCAGTGCGCATTGGCGCCTACAAACCTAAGTGGATACTTCAAGCACTGCGCAATGCGTGGAGTATCCACTTAGGTTTAGGTTTGTAGGCGCCAGTGCGATTTTCTCGCTGGCAGCACGCCGCTTTGCTCTGTGTTAGGCTCTAATGTTTAAACTAGCGGAGTTAGCGTTTTTCAACTCGTGATTTTGAAATGTGTGCACACTCTGCATGGATTGATCTCATTTACTTTGATGATGGAAAATGTATTAAAGGAAAATATAACGTGTATTTTGTAAATAGTAAGGTGTTTCCGTGTCAAATTTAGTGTTTTCGAAAGCACATTAATTATTCCTAATATTTTGTGCTTTTGCTGTCCTTCACTGTGGTATAGGCACAATCAAACAAAATTCTCAAAATTGAGAATGGGTTAAAACCAGAGATTGCTTGCTACTTGGTTTTTTTCCTCTTTTATTCATTTGTATAGTTTCTTTCAACACAACTACGGCTCATTGAGATTAATATCGATGCCATCGCTTGGAAAAAGTTTTACAAATATTTGCTGCGTTTTAAAGATGTAAATATTTTTAAAAAGAAGTAATATTTTCATTGAAAAAGTATACATAAGGTATATTTTATATGGAAAATTTTAAGGATAGAAATCCTCTAATGACCGAACTAAGGTGGGTCGAGCATTTTGGATAATGTCGTTATTACTGCCAGAATGAAAACCGAATGTCGTAGGTGTATCGTAAGAGGGATTTTAGTTTTGCTGTAACGGAGGTTAATCAAGACTTACCCAAATCCACTCGCGGAAATTCGCCTTTGCCGTGAAAACCTCCTTCAAGAAAAGCGTGGGTCGATGAAATTCGGATGTCGTCGGCCCGGTTGCAACAGCAGCGTCAACTCATTGAAAAATCGGCTGAGCTGGAGTCTATATCCGATTAGATCTCGGGCCAAAGTTCCCGTCGCCCCGATACGGGCAGCGGAGGCGGGGTGAGGGGGCGGAGGCTTGGCCGACTGAAAAAGACGGAGAAACTAATTAAGTAATATTTAAGCAGTGAGATTAATGAGTGCGAAATTTAACTAATTACAACAGCGCGGGCCATGGAGCCATCAGCAAGAAACTTGGGGCTGAGCGAGCAGATGCGAAAGTTTTCACCCGGACTAAAAGCCACGTGTGAGCAGAGTTGCCACCCCGAAGACGGACCTTCATAACTGATTGGTTTCGAAACATCAGAGGGCTGATTGTTTAAATTGATAGACTAAGCTATTGACAAAGAGGACAAAAGGGACATAGAGGGATCCTATTGGTGGAAGCGGGTGATTGCGATGGGCAAAGGAGGTAGGTAATAGACTAATCTAACGGCAACCCATGAGAGACCCTGTAGTTAGTTCATCATTTACCCCCTTTGTCCATAAGAACCACCAATTTCAACCAATAGGCTCGCTTTATACTCCCAATGTCTTCTTTGTCTACAGCCTTGTCTATCAATTTCAACAATCAGCCCCTAGGGGTTCATCTGCGACCCTTCATGGGGAAACTGACCACAGTCAATGGAGTGGAACTTTTCAGTGGAGCAATTTTTTTCGAGTTGGGTCGAAAGAAAGGATCTAGAGATTTCGACCGAATACTCGCCCCAAAGCTTTTCAGAGTAAGAAGCGAGTGGTTAAGTCAATTTTTGCGCCAAAAGAGGGTGTATCCTGCAGTTCTATCTTCAGAGCAATATCTCACCGCATCAAAAAAATCATAAGAACAAAATGTTGTTATTTTTCAAATTTGCATATTAGGTCTGTGTTTCCTGGTCAGAAACAGCACTTCTGAAAAATAAAAAACATTGAATTCATACGAGTTGAACTTCTCTACTCTTATGAGTAGAATATTCTAGTGATATGAGTAGGATATCTACTCTTATGAGTAGGGAATTCTACTCGTGTGATTTGGCGAATTCTGAATAGCCTACTTGTCATTTTTAGCAGGGATTGTACTTAACGATCACTAATGGATTATCAATGTAGACTGGATGTTGAGGTACATTTGGACGTGTTTCTGGCAAAAGGAACTATGTGCATTATGACGTGAGCCCTGTTATGCGTGTATTCTTATGGGTCCCAGGGATCATGTCTCAATGCACATAGTTTCGTTTGGCAGAAATACGTCCATTTGATCTTATTCCACCCCCAAAATGAAGAATTAAGAGGAGGATGTTGCAACGTCACCATGAAAATAACTAAAACATCTTTTAATGGGAGGGTAGGAGAAGAGGAGGCGTGGAGCATTATGATTCTTCCACGAAAGTGCAGCCGGATGTGAAATTGAGAACCAACTCGAACTCAAAAGCGAGGCATAACTGCCGAACTACCGTCTTGGGCTGTTCTGCCTCGCTATCGCCCCCGGCTCCTCTTCTCACAAATTTCATGGTAGGTATGACACATCATACATATAAGCTTTCCTACTCCTCAAAGTTTCATTCACTATTACAGTTCGTTCTACAGATACACTGAAGGAAATCCCTTGATTTTTCCGGATAGTGGCGAAAAGTAATCTCTGACCTCTTAGATAATACAATAATAGTGAAAATATTGAAAAGGTGGGAGACCTTTGAACTCCCATCAAGATTTACTTTGTAAAAAGTATGTAAGGTATGAATGATAGTGTGGATGGAGTGCGAAAGGAAGAATGTGAAACAATTAGACTAAAAACCTTCAAGTTTTAATATCTCAAAAAAAAGAAGGCAGAAAATTTTACAATTCCTGTTTTTTAGATAATCATCGTATTAACTTACATCACCGTGTAAATTTTATGCAACTCGTTTAGTTTTAGTTTTAAACCATGTAGATAGATACAAGGAAATACTTGTAGCAGTTACGTTGTATTTATATAAAATTCCTTAAAAAAACAAGCAGAAAAATC